CCTCCCCCCCCCCCCCCGCTTAAAAACCTCGGTGACCGATCAAAAAATAAACGTTTAAAATGAAAACAATAGTTTTAATATTATTTTAATTTTTATGTGGAGTTATTTTAATAACCGCAGAAGCTTAGCAAGGCTGATACCAGAGCAGAGGGTGACCGCGGTGCCTTTTAAGCTTTAATCCCTCCAGCGCTCCCAGGGATGGTGGAGGATGGGGGGTCCCTGTCCCTGTCCCCCACATCCCCCCTGATCCATCACTAAACCGAGTTTTGGCTGCCGGACACACAGTCGGAGCCGCAGGGCACGTCGCGCCGAGGTTAATTAGCCTCGGCAGCAGTAATTAGCCCAGGGCTAATTGCGGGGCTGGGTGTCGCCATCCCCCGAGCGCTGTTGATGCCGCCGGGGGAGCTCAGCTGTGTCTGCGGGGTCCTAAAGGCTCCTGGCAGGGGAAATTTGGGATCACGGGCTTTGGGAGCCCCCCGAGAGCCGGAGGTTGCCCAGCAGAAGGTGAGTGGGGAAACCCATCACGTCCCCTCCACCAGTGGTGTCTCCGTGCTCTGTCCTGGATCCCCTCCACCGATCCAACTAGGAATTAGAGGTGGGGACATCAGAGACACTCGAGGAACCCCATCCTGCACAGCTGGCATCCTGGAGCAGCTCTGAACTTCGGGAGAGATGGGAAGAGCCCCTCTTCAGGAGCTCTGTCCCCAAATCCTGGCTCCTGGGTGGGGTTGGCAGGAACCTCTTTGCACCTGAGCTGTACCCAGGGCTCAGCCCCAGGTGTGACCCTCTTCTTCAGCCTTCGAGGAAGCCCACAGAGCAGATCTGGGGAGGAGCAGGAGGAATTTAGGGTGTTTAAGGGGTAGGAGGCCAGGTGAGCTCCCATCCCCGGTTTTCCTCCCTCTCTTCTTTCCCTTTCCCAGGTGTGGAACCCTCCCTGGTGGCGGCCGGGGCTGAGACCTCCCAGCATGGGGGTTAAAGCGATGCTCCCCAGCTACGAGCTGGGCTTTTATGCTCTGGTGGTGACCTGTGCTGTGCTCTACAGCGGCAGCGGCATCTTCCAGGCATCCAGAGGTAACTCTCCCACCGCGTCCCCTGGGAGGGGCGGGGGTGTCAGGAGCCTGCTTTTACAGCTGTGGGTACCAGCAGCGGATCCCCGGCTTTGACTTTCCCTGAGAACAGCTTGGAAATCCTTTTTAAAGGGATTTTTTGCCTTTTTGCCTGGTTGCCTCTGTCCTAATTTCCACTGCTCAGGGCAAGAGGCTGTGGGATGTCACAGCCACAGCAAGCAGCCACCACTACCCTGCCTATGCAGGGCTCGTTGTCTATTTTGTTTGTTTGTTTGGAGTGTTGTTTCTTTGTTTTGGTTTGGGGGTTTTGTTGTTTGTTTGGTGGGTTTTTTTGGTTTTGTTTTTTTTGGGGGGGTTGGGGTTTTTTTTTTTGTTTTTTATGTTTGTTTTTATTTGGAAGGCAACAAACCTGAAATTTATGGGATCAGCCATGGAATGTGTAATGAGAAAAAGGCTTTGCTGAAAATTCCTGCAGAAACCTGCTGTCACCGACTCTTTTGGTTGTCCATGGCAATCAGGCTCTTTTGGGAATGGGGTGTTTGAGCCCTGATGGCTCATTATCACAACGATGAAGGTTCTGGGCCTGGCTTGAACCCAGATCCCGTTTCCCAGAGCTGTTTTTCTCCCATAACTCTGGTTATTTTGCAGACAGCATGAACAGAAAGGCCTTTCGGGATGGAATAAAGCCAGGCTGGCACTACTTCGGCAGGAAGATGGTGAGTGAGGAAGGGCTTGGGCTTTTCCAGCTACAGACGACCTGGTCAGTGGAGAAACAGAGCTGGGTTTTTTGCTACTGATGCACTTTTGCAAAGTCCACATGACTCAATTTTTTCTCCCTAAAGTAGAGGGGAAAATACCAGCCCTGCGGGGCTGTGGATGCTCTGAACATCCCTCCTGGGGTTTTGAAGTGCTTGGGAGCCCTTGGGTGGAAAATGGGAAGAGAAACCTTTACAAGCTGTGGGTTTGGGGGCAGTGAAGTGCCTGGTGCTGCTCCTGCAGGACGTGGCCGATTTCGAGTGGGTGATGTGGTTCACCTCGTTCAGGAACATCATCATCTTCGCCCTCTCTGGACACGTCCTCTTCGGCAAGATCTGCTCCATGACTGTGCCACAGGTGAGCAGGGATGTGCTGGGATGGATCTGAGAGCACCAGGGGTGGCCTGGGGTCTGTGGAAAGGGTTCTGGGGGATGTTCTGGGGCTGGGGCTTTCACCACGCTGACCACAGCTGCTCTCTCCCCAGCACCGGGCTGTGATGTACATGATCTACGGGGTCCTGGCTGTGCTGGGCAGCATGGGGCTGGTCTACCTGATGATCATCCTCTCCCACTGCCTGGTCCTCTACTCGGTGGCCCTGGCCAAGCAGAAGTGGCTTTGCTACGTGGCCGGGCTCTGCTGCCTTGCCTCCTTCAAGGTGGAACCCTTTGGCTCGTGGCAGGTGGGTGCTGTCCTGGCCACGTGTCTGCCTTGTTTCCAGGCCACTGGTGTCCCTCTCCTCGGGGTTATCCCCAGGGAGGGCTCCTGGGGCAGCCCCAGGCCCTGGCCATTTCTCCTGGCTGCATCAGAGCCCTCATAGCATTTTAGAGTGAAGGGACTGTAGAGCTTGGGAATAGTCTCACAGTGCTTAGGTCATGTTTTGGTGGCTTCATGCTGTTCCAGAATAAAGGACATCAGGGCAGCCTGTTGCTGCCCTGTGCCTCAGTTTCCCCAGCTGTAACACAGAGCTGGGATGGATTCAGTGATGCCCATCTCCTAGGTCACAGCCCAGTTAAGACTTTATCTCACAGGTGGGTGAAGGCCAGGTAGGACCTTATCAAGAGATTCAGTCCCTCAGCAGAACAGTGTTTCCTCTCCCTGCCTCCAAAGACATGTTCTGCTCCTCTCCCTCATCCCTGTGCTGGCCATGCTTTCCTCCCTGGGGGCACCTGTGACAGGGTGGCATTGCCACCCCAGACCTAACCCTGTGTGACCAACAGCTGCTTGGTGACATGGCCAAGAGGATCCACCACTTCCTGACTGCCCTGAGCTACAGGAGCCAGCTGGGAAATCGAGCCCCAGTTTTCTCTTTCCAGCTCATTAACTTCAGAGACAATTGGTGTCAGAGCTTAATTAGAAGTTTTCCTTGAACTGAAAAACTCAGCTGGCAGAGGTCAGGGTTAGAGGAGATGTTGGGAAACAGTTCCTTACTGTGAGGGTGGTGATGCCCCGGCGCAGGGTGCCCAGAGCAGCTGTGGCTGCTCCTGGATCCCTGGAAGTGTCCAAGGCCAGGTTGGGCAGGGCTTGGAGCATCCTGGGATGGTGGGAGGTGTCCCTGCCCATGGGGTGGCTGTCACTGGTCCCCCCAACCCATTCTCTGCTGCCCCAGGAGTGGTGCCCCCCACAAAGCAAGGCAGCACAGAAGTGACACCACGTTCCTGGTGGTAACTCTCTGTTTCTTGTCCAGAGCGGGTTTGTAACGGGAGCTTTTGATCTCCAAGATGTCCTTTTCTACGGAGGATGCACCTTCACCATCATGCGCTGCATGAGCTTCGCCCTCGAGAGCTCTGAGAAGGAAGAGGGCATCTACTCCATCTTCGACCTCCTCAAGTACAACTTCTACCTCCCATTCTTCTTCTTTGGGCCTGTCATGACCTTTGACCAGTTCCATGCCCAGGTGAGTGATCCTGAGGCCAGACTGGAGCAGGATTTCACCCCAAAATCTGTTTGCTTGGGGTTAATGTCTACAAAAAACCCAACTTTTGTCACAGTGAAGATGTAGATGGTGGTAGAACTTATTGCTGCCACCTCTAGTCTGTGGCTGTGCATTTTTGTGGGGAAGGGCATAAACTGATGGATTCATAACCTTCCTTTTTGTTGTTTTTTTGGCCATTTTCACTGACCAGTTCACAATGAAAGGTCTTGCTGTGATGTCCTTGCTCCCTGGGCATCTGCACTGCTCAGTGCCTCAGTTTCCTTGTGTTGTCACCCCAGCACCTCCATGGTGAGGGCCACACACGTGGTGCCCACCCATGGGATCTCTTCATGCTGTGACATCAAGGACATTCCTGACTCCCATTTTTATCCAGCTGCTTCACCAGGAGTTTCCAGGGATGGTTTGTGTGTCTTTAGATCAAGTTATTTCTCAGGAAATAAATAAGATTGAGTGGAAGGCTGAGTTCCGGCAATCAGGGGCTCCATAAAATACCCCAATGCCCCAAGTCTTTGCCTGTTCCACACAACCAAGGGAGCTTTTGGGCGAGCAGAACAAACAAAACTGGAAAATACCAGCAGAAGCCTGGGCTGGAGCCTCTGGAGCTGTTCCAAGATCAAGGAAACCAGCAGTGCTGTGTCCCCCCTCACTCTTCCCACCTCAATCTCCTTCTGCACCAAGGATCAGCCTCAACCACCAAAGCAAGCTGGTGGTGCTGGCAAAGGGAGGTGTTTGGTCAGCAGTGATGCTGTGGAGGGTTCCCACCACCATCCCCGGTCCCTTCTGCAGAAGAACAGCTACACTGAGTTTTTGGACCCAAATTGATGACTGGGTACAAGAATGATTTGGAAAAACATTTGTGAATTCAGAAGAAAATCCAGCCCAGGGCAGGGGAGAGGGCAGGCAGAGCCTCATGGTGAGGAGAAGACTGAAGACCCACCAGCCCAGCACCTTCTCTCACACGTGGGGCTGGTTCTGGTTGCCTAAGAAAGGGTCTGCACTGGGATGTTTCCTCCAGGATGAGCCATGATCCCAGTCCTGCTCCTCACCTGTGGAATTAACAACTTCATGACACCTCTTAAAAGGAACAAGAGTCCTCAGGTCTCACTGGATATATTAAAAACGATTTTCAGAGTATTTGATCTTGAAGATCATAAGGTCAGCTCTGGTGTGCCCATCAGGGATGCAGACAGGTACCTATAAATGGGGACAGGAAACTCCTCATGTCCCCAACACCTGAACTCCCCCTGCTCCTGCACAGCTCTGTCCCAGTGGGGTTTTATTTCCTGCTCCTTTGCACAGCCCCAAATCAGGATGTCTGAAGCCACTTAATGAGCAGTTCCCCTCTCTGCTGCTTCAGATGCTCACCCCAAAGGCACAAGGATTAAGTCCCCAACCCCTTTCCTCTGCCAGGGGTCCTGGCTTGGCCTGGCCACCACTGCCATCTCCTGGCTACATCCCCCCTGCACTGCAGGAGCTGCGGCTGGCTGCAGAGCTGAATTCTTCATTGCCCAAGAGCAATCAGGGAAGGAGGCAGATAGAACCCTTCCCCAGGGAATAGAAACCACCCAGGGTGGCATGAATGGCCCAGTTAGAGATCAGATCTGTCCCTTTGGATCCTACTGGTCCTACATGCTGGTGGAGCTCTTTGGTCCCTGTGTGAGATGGGAACTCATCTGTACCACGGCTTGGCCAGACAAATTTGGGTGGAGAAGCATCTTTCTTACTGGGATCAAGGGAACAAATCCCCTTCTATAGGGTTGGGAGTTGGGGGGACACAGCCCTGATCCCAAGGGGACGGTGGCCAGCTGCTGGCACCACACACAGATGTGAGGAGGAGAGGAAACAACGTGAAGTTGCACCAGGGGAGGTTTATACAGGATATTAGCAATAATTTCTTCAAGGAAATGGTTGTTAAGCATTGGAACAGGCTATCCAGGACAGTGGCAGAGTCAGCATCCCTGGAGGTATTTCAGAGATGTGTAGATGTGGCACTTGGGGACAGGGTTTAGTGATGGGCTTGGCAGTGCTGGGTTAATGGTTGGACTCAATGATCTCAGTGGATTTTTCCAGCCTAAACCATCCTGTGATTCCATGGAAGGAGGTTTCCGTGTCCTCCCACACGTCTCCATGCCAGACCCTGTCCTCCCTCTGCTCAGGGTCCAGCGACCTCTTTGTATCCTCAAAGCACCTGGTACTTAACAGACACAAAAAAAAATCTGGCAAAGGCTTTAATTCTCAGGAATCATCTGGATTTGACATCAGGTCTGGAGCAGCAGCCTGTGGATTATGCAGGGAGCGCTCCTACCTCTCACAGGGAATAAAGGGGAAGTAATAACCATAAGAGGATTTTGAATACAGCAGCAATTTTACGGCAATGCAGGGAAGCAAGGACATCGCTCTGCCCCGTGTAATCCTGAGAGCTCACTCTGGTGATGTTTATATGGCAACAACCAGAGAGGTGACAGCTCCTGGGGACAAACCCCAGCCCCTGTTCCTGCAAGATACAGCAGAGATGAAATCCCCATCAATCAGGTCCCATCGATTCAGGGCGGCCCCTTGAACAAGTCTCCCTCTCGTTTACAGAAGTCTGCAGCAGAAACTTCAGACATCACCAGTTCTCCTCCTCCTTGCAGATAACCCTGGACAAAAATGCACCAGGCCCTGGCAGAGCTGTGAGGTTGGGATTCCAGCCCTGAGATCCATCCTGGAGATGTGATCCATCCTGGAGATGTGATGGGTGCAAGCATCAGTGTCTTTTGGAAGGAATTGTCCTTAAGCAAGGTTGATTTTCTGAGCACATTGCTGCAGAAGAACATGAAACCCTGGGAGCTCCCTGGTCAGAGTGGATTTCACCCCACCTGGAGGCCCTGAGTAGAGCCAGAGCTTCGTCTGACCACATGCCTGCTCTTCTGGGAAACCCCTGGGAACAGCAGGATGATGCAATAGGAACATCCCTGCTGTCCTCAGCACTGCTGTGGGTGGGACATGTCCTGCTCCTTGTGGATGTGCTCACCTGGGCCAGCCTTCAGGTCTCCCTTAATCCATGGAAATTTGGGCCACACAGTCCCTGTTGTGATTTCTAAAGGAGAATGATGAATCAATCCCTATCTGGACCTTGACCATCCTTCTGGATGGAGGAACAATGCCCATCCTGTCCCTGGGCTCAGCCCTGTCCGTTTGTCCCTCCCTGCAGGTGAGCACCCGAGAGCTGCGGCGCAAGGACGACGAGATGAAGAGCATCCGTGTCAATGCCCTGCTCCACGTGGGGGCCATCGTGGCTGTGGACATCTTCTTCCACTTCTTCTACATCCTCACCCTCCCTTCTGACCTGAAGTTCGTGAACCGCCTCTCGGACTGGTCCTTGGGTGAGTGGCCGTGCTTGGGCACGTTCACCCCTGTACTCGTCTCCAAGGCAGTGGTGAGTGATCCAGATCTCCATCCACCCCCCTTGAGAGGCTTTGGGGATGCCTGTGTTGGACAGGTTCGAGTAAAAACCCCTCATCCTCCTGCTGGCCACTCAGAGCTGGGGTTGGGCAGCCCTGAAAAGCACGTGGTGCTGGTCTGGTGCTTTTCACAGTGTAAATTGTTTAGTTTGGGGTTTAGGAAGCTGAGCACCAAGATATTTTTACCTTTGGACTGGAAGGGAGCTCAGCATCTCTAAAAAATCAGCAGGACACAGCAAACCACATGCAGCAACACAAGGTCTGATTGCATGCAAGGAAAGCTGTCCACAGAGTGGTCAAACACTGGGAGAGGTTCCCAGGGAGGTTCTGGATTGTCCCAAAAGAGACATATTCAACACTTAAATGGAAAATGTCCAGGGCAGTGTAATCTCTACCCAGAGTTGAGTGTTCTCCAAGCATGGCTGCACTAGAGACCTCCAAAAGGCAAATTCCCAGGGTAAGTGATGGAAGCAGCTCTGGCCTTGAGCTGGCAGCTGGATGGAGGATTCCAGATGATCAAATCCACATCTGATGGCAGCACTGCAAACACCACAACCCAGCAGACGCCAAGCAGGGGCTGGAGGAGCCTCCTGTCTCTCCAGAGTGGCAGCTCGAGGCCAGGATAAAATCCTAATGCAGCTGGAGTGGCACTAACATGGATTTAGGGTGTCCCAGGAGCCCTGGATATATGGATCCCATGTTACTCCAGAGGGAGCTGAGCTCCTCTGACCGTACTGACCACACCTGCCTGGCCCATGGTGGGAGCATCCCTTAATCTGGGAGCTGGATCCCACCAAGACCAGGGACATTTTAGCTGCCCTTGGCACAAGCATTTGAAATCTTTAGAGCTGTCCATGCAGGGTTTGTTTCCCAGAGTCAGACACCTCTTTAAGTCAGAGGTTCTGACCCCAGCTCTGCTGTAGCATGGATGTTACATCAGTGGCCAGAGGGAGGGAATTTTGATGGAGGTGCCAATAAAACCTTGGAGGCTAGACCTGAGAACTGCGATGAGTTCATCACAGCTTAACAAGCCTCAGAAGAAAGGCACAAAGATGAAATAAATGACTGTATAAACAGAATTTCTTGAACTACTAGGACCAACAAGCAGTTTTCTCCCTAATACCCTGAGAAGAACTGTCCTTTGGTTCAAGCCTCCTAAAAAACTTAGTTTTAAAAGATTTCCTCTGTAGAAATCCTGATGCATTCCATGTTCCTTTTTCCCTGTTTGACTCCTTTTTTTGCTCCAGCTGGCCTGGCCTACTCCAATCTGGTGTATGACTGGGTGAAAGCTGCTGTCATGTTTGGGGTCATCAACACCATCGCCAGACTGGACCACCTGGACCCACCCCAGCCCCCAAAGTGCATCACCATGCTCTACATCTTTGCCGAAACGTGAGTTCCCAGTGAGCGTGAACGAGGAGAGTTTGAGCTGGACAGGACCCACATGGAGCTGGGAGACACCTGGGCTGTCCTGGGCAGCTGGTCTGTGAGTTGGAGACCACCTGAAATTATGATCTAGACCTGGCCAGAACCCAGGGGAATATTCTTAGGTGGGGAGAAATAGATGAGAAGAAAAGTTGAACCATGTCTCTAGAGGCATCTGTCCAAGGAAGGAGCCTGGAGGACTTCTGTGAGCAAGGTCCAAGACGTGCCTTGCCAGGGGATTGGGTGTTTTCTCTGTTTCAGCAGGTTTTTATTGTCATTGTGTGTTTTACCATGTTCTTTTCATCTTATTTTAGGCATTTTGACAGAGGGATTAATGACTGGCTGTGCAAGTAAGTGTCCAGTCAACCACCTCTATTCTGGTTCAGGGTCATCCCTTCCATCCCAGAGCAATGAAGCACCACATGCTGTTCATCCCAAAGCTGGGCTGTCCTCTCTTCTGGATAAATCTCACTGTTTGCTCTGTTTAGCCCCAAACCTGATGAATTAATTACACAAAGAGCAACAGCTCCTCCCTCCAAAGCTGGGAATAAGAGTGCTGTCCCAAAATCCCTTAAAGTGTGGTGGGTTTAGCCAGACTTATGCCTCATAGGAGGAAAAGCCAGCTTTATTTCTCCAGGAGAAACAGGAACTGAATATTGTAGCTCCATCTGCATCTTCCTCAGCCCTTCACCTTCATCCATGAATTCACACCAGCAAACTTCTGCTGAGGGAGGTGGTGGCTGCATTAAAGGATAAAATCCCGAGTACCAGCAAGTCTGAGAGAGCCTCCAGCTCTATTGACCCCAAATTTTACCTTCCAGAGGGGGAAAAGTGGATATTTTGTCCATAAGTATTTATAGGTTTGTAGGAACACAAGTCACAAGCGGTTGGGGCACAGCAAAAATCAGTTTATTGCTGGAACATCCTCTCTGTTTTACTGGGATGTTCTGGGCTGGCCTGTCTGTGACAAGCTTAGGAAAAGAAACTCCAGAGAGGTCTCCTGGCCTACAGGGAGCACCAACCACCTTCCCTGGCTTTCAGGTACGTGTATGACCACATTGGAGAGAACCACGACAACATCCTGAAGGAGCTGGTGGCCAGCATCACCACCTTTGCCATCACCACGCTTTGGCTGGGGCCCTGCGAGGTCGTTTACATCTGGTCCCTCGTCAACTGCTTCGGCCTCAACTTTGAGCTCTGGGTGCAGAAGTTCTTCCAGCTGGGGCCCTTTGCCAAGCTGGAGGTGAGGAGCTGGGTTGCAGAGGGGATGGGGAGAGGTCAAGGGGGCTGGGGGACAAGTTCTGGTGCTGGAAAATATCCGTGACTGGAGGGAGCTCACATTGGCTTGTAGGAGTCAGATTTTGGGCTGAGGCTGAAAAGCAGAACCCCTGAGGATGCCATGATGCTCCATGGCCTGGACTCCTCCATGGAGACCTGAAGCTCTTTCCTGTGGCCTTTAAAATCATGGGATCATTAAGGCTGGGAAAGACCATCAAGTGCAGATGTCTGCCCAGCACCATCTGTTCACCACTAAACCACATCCTTAAGTGCCGTATCCACATATTTTTTTGAACGTTTCCAGGGATGGTGGCATCCCTGGGCAATCCTTGGGATCAGCTACTGAGCTGTGCAAGGGAAGCACAAGGTCCTGGTGCTCTGTGTTCTTTCATTTTATGCACTTTGTCACCAACCCAGAGCAGACAAACTCCTGCCCCTGTGATGCTTCACAGGAAATTTAGATTGTGGTGGAAATTCCAGAGGGAAAACAAAGGTCCAAGAGAAGCTGGAATGAGTCTCCAAGGAGGTATCAAAGTGCCACAGATGGACACAAAATTTGAGGTCTGTCCTTGGGAATACGTTTATGCATATGGGGAATGTTCTGTGGGGAATATCCAGATCTTATGATCCTATGGGGAAATGTTTATATATTTCCTTATGGGAATAATTTGTTCTTCTTGTTCTGCAAAGAATATTGGCATTCTCAGTGTTTTTGATCTGATTTCTTTTAAAAGCAAGTGTTTGGGTGCTAGAACAAATTATTTTAAAACAATCCTTAGTGCCCTGGGACTAAGGTGTCTTAGGAATATACTGGAAAAAAAAATTTAAAACTTCCACCCTGGAAACACGTTCCTTACTTCTTTTTCCTAATTTGAAATCTGGTCCTAAATTATTTAAATAAAGGCCTATTTTGAATAAAAACCATGGAGAGCAACCCTCCTGTTTGCTCTCCTTGTTGAACTAATCAGATTAAGGCTCTCCCAGGCAGTGAAATCTCCTTCCCTGCAGCACCACAATTCCCAGCACTAAGTGGCCTGGGGGATTCACCGTGCTCTTTGAAGGCTGCTATAAACTCCTTCCCTGCTCCACTCACAGCAGCTGATCCTGGAGATTATGTGCCAGTGACAGTTCCACTCTGCTGCTGTCGTTAGTTTTCAGCATTGGGTTTTTGTTTTTTTTAATTCCTAAGAAACTATTTTTACCAGGACCCAGGAGTGATTTTCATGTAGGGCTAATAATAATCCTGGGATACAACGGATTCTTCTGCCTTCAGGAGTGGCTTACCCAAGGCAAGAGGTGGAGAAAGCAGGACTCAACCATCTCATTTTAAAGAGGCTCTGAGAGAGCTGGAGAAGGACTTGTGACAAGGATGTGGAGGGACAGGACAAGGAGTAATAGATTTAAACTGACAGATAGCAGGGTTAGATGGGATTGTGGAAATGAATTTCTCTTTGTGAGGGTGGTGGGGCCCTGGCACAGGGTTCCCAGAGAAGCTGTGGCTGCCCCTGGATCTCTGGAAGTGTCAGGACCAGGTTGGATGGGGTTTGGAGCAGCCTGGGATAGTGGAAGGTGTCCCTGCCATGGCAGGGGGAGAATGGATGATCCTTAAGATCCCTTCCAACCCAAACCATTCCATGTGTCTGTGGTTCTGCAATTATCATGAAACTGTGTCTAATACCTTGCCCCCACCCATGGGACCCAGCCCAGAGTCCCTAAAGCAGCGGAGCTGTTTTGCCTTGTCCTTTCATTTCTTCATTCCAGAGGCACTAAAAGCTGCTCTGATTTTTGCCTCCTCTCTGGAATCCCAGCTGGAGTTTGCTGGAGTTGCACCTGCCACCCCTTTTCCTCACAAACCCTTTTCCCTCTCTCCTGTCCAGGCCAAGCTGTCAGGGGCCATGTCTCGGCGGATCAGGGCAGCTTTTGGGGCGGTGAATTTCTGGGCCATCGTCCTCTACAACATCCTGGCCCTCAACAGCCTGGAGTTTGCACTGCTGGTGACCAAGAGACTCCTCGTGATGGGTAAGGTGCTGCCAGCCTTCCCCCATGGGAGACCCCTGTCTGAGTGGGGGGACATTGGTACAGGAGTTGAGGACTGGGGCTTTGAACCCTTTTGAGTCCGAAGCGCCCTGGCCACTTGTGATGTCTCCAAATGTCCTTAATTCTTATGCAAAAGGCACGGGCAGGGGTTTCTTACCCACACGCCCCTCACTGAGTGCTCTGGGGCACCAGCTGCCTTCCAGCTGTGCTTGTACAGCTCCTGACACAGCCTGACACTGGTTTAGCCTCCCTGGAGCTCTGCAAAGGTCACGTTCACCTCAGCAAGCAGGGCTGAGTCCTTGCCTGTGAAATGGTCTCCTTGCTGGAGAAAGGGATTGACTCATCCTGCCTCATTTCCTCTGCTCCAGCAGATGTTCCTGCATCCTCCCGAAGGTGGCAGGTACAATTCCTCATCCTGCAGTCTGTACATTTCTTATCAGTGGATTGTGGCTCTGTTTTGAGCTCTTCTCGAGCTGCCCAGGGTATAAATAGCCATCAGGAGCCGGTGCCCGGCCGCGCTCTCCGGGATGGGGCTGGCGTAGGGAACGGATAATGTCACACTCGGTGTGCCAGGAGTGCCTGCCCGCTGAGCTCGCTGCCTTTTGCTGGTTGCATTATTCATTGCAGAGCTCCTGTTTTAGCAGGAACAAACCCTGGATCCACCCCTCTGCTGTGGATACCAGATTTGTGATTGCAAACACCGTCAGACCCTTCCAAAGAGGAGGGAGAGCTCCGGGCTCTGTCACTGACGTAGGTGACAAAAATATGTGTTTTCCTGGGTGGACACTGTGTCCCCACTAAGTACAGGACGAGGCTGGGGTTGATCCTCAGCATCAATGGGGTCCAAAGCTTCCAGAAGGTCACAGTGGTGAGCAACGATGGACATGGACAGGTTAAATGGGCAGAAAGTCAACTGTGATTTCTGAACTTGGGGAAAAGGAGGACTTTTGGGGGCAAGAGGGGCTCAAAACCCCTCCAGCATGTCCCCACATTAGCTGCAGTCCATGGTGCCTTGGTGGGCTCAGGCACAGCTTCATCTAAAACCCAGTCCTGAGTTCCTTCTGCTCTGGGTGAAGCTGCAGGGCTGGATCTATGATGATAAACGTCGTTGGCCACCATGAGCTTGTGGGACCTCCCAAACCTGCCTGAGAGGCAGCTGTGCTGGTGAAGAAACTGGCCTGGTTAGGCGAGCAGCCACAGCTGGATGACCATGTCTCCCTCCCTGCTCTAGGTTTCCCTGTGAGCACCCTGTCCATCTGGTTCATCACCTACTGCGGAGTGCAGCTGATCAAGGAGCGCGAGCGCATCCTGGCCATCGAGGAGGAGGAGAAGGGTGACAAGGCAAAGGTGGAGTAGGGGAGGCACCACAGGCTTGTCCTGAAGCCTCGTCTCCCAGCCACTGCTGCCAGGCCAGCCACTGGCCAGGGCTCTCCAGGCCCTCCTGACAATCCGACTGCTGTAGCTCATCCACGTAGAAGTCACCTGGAAGGCACAGGTCACCCCCTTGCTGCAGGAAAGGTTTTCCATCAGGCACAGAGGGCGTTTCACAGTCTCCCCAGACGTGGCAGGATGCTGAGGCAGCTCCCAGGACATGCCAGAGACATCCCCATTGTTTTTCTGCCCATCTGACATTGTGCAGGCCCAGAGATTTCAGCCCCTGCTTCCCACAACATTTGGTCCACCAGCACTGGGCTCTCCCCACGTCTCCCAGAGGAGACTCCAGGTCCCAGGGCTGGAGGTTTTAGGGCCCTGCACTGCTGGATCTGAGACTGCTGACGACCACCCTGCTGTGACACGTGTCCTGGGACTCAAGCCAAACCCCACCTCAGTTTTTTTATACGCCATGGACAAAGGTCTAAGCTCACATTCCTGCCCATGGCTGAGGCACAGGATGTGCTGTAGCCAACCCTTGCTCATCTCCAACCACCCATCCCTTTCCTCAGCTGCCTTTGGTGTGCACAGCCCATGGCTGTAGGGCTGAGTGAGCACACGGGTGGATCCAATCAAAGGAGAAGAACCCCAGATGAGGGACAAGGACTTGGGGCTGGGTGGTGGAGGGAAACTCCTTGGAGAATTAGACTTTGGGAGTGTGTGAAACATGGTGCCTTGGGGGAAAGGTGGGTTTGTAACAGAAAAATAGCTCTGGCTCTCTTGCACTTTAGAGTAACTCTCAGTGGCCTTATGTCTGAGTTTTGTTGCTGTTGGGCGAGGTTGGGATCCACACCCCTTTGCAATGGGGGTCGAGATGCTTGGATGAAGCAGGATGGGTTCCTAGCCAGCTTTCAGCTCTGCCAAAGTAATTTGTGAAGTCCCTGATAAATGTCACTTATTTATGTAGGCAATAAATGTTGGATAACTCTGGGCCCTGCTCATCATCCTCATCCTCATCATCCCTGCTGCGCTGCTGGGCTGCAGGTGACACCCAGGTGGCATTACCCAGCCACCAGCACTGAGAGGACAAGGATCTGCCCCCCAAAAGAGTGACACCAGGCATTTTTGACTTCAGCAGAAAGCCACTCTGGTGTCATCACCAGACTGAAGGTTGGGCTGCAGCTGGATTCATATTCTCCTTTATTTTTACTCTGCTTTCATACATAACTTGGGTCTGTGGCCAGCAAACTTTCAGCCATGTGGGTTTTGGGTTAGAAGCCAGGTTGGTTTTACTGGTGTGAGCCTGACCAACAGTGCTGGGAGTAAAGGGCAGGTGTTGTGCCCTGGTGGCATCTCATCACACCCCTTTCTGACACATCTGTCACTGTTGGAATTTTCATAGTGTTTCTCAGCATCTCCATTATTTCAGATTTACTTTTTCCATCAAACCAGCTCTGCCACCATTTAACCCTGCAGGGTTAATTTCATCTCTTCCCCTCTGTACAGGTGTTCTGGCACAGGTGGCACCAGCCTGAGGTGCTGACACCAAGGGCTCTGTCCCTGTGGTGGCTCAGCTCAGGTCTGTGGCTGCCTGGGAGGACAGAGTCACCTCCCAGTGTCAAAGTGGGTGACTCACATGGCAAAGCCCAGTGACTCTGCACTGCCCTCCTGACTTGGAAACTCCAGGAGAGAAAATAGCCCATTCACTAAGGGTCTATATTTACCCAGCAGCTGCATCTGCTGAAGCTGCCAGAAGGAGCTAATCTTAGACACCAACCCAGCGAGTGATCTGTTAGAGACAGTTCACAGGAGAATCTGGGCTTTGCCCTCCTTTTCCAGGAGTTATCCCTTCAGCTTTTGCTGCTCTGACAAGCCCAGGAGGTCTGCTGGGCCAGGAGCATCCTGGTGCTGTCTCAACCAGCTCAGCCTTGCACAGGAACCCTCAGCTTCACTGAATGCCTCTGGAGGATGGGATTTATCTCATCTCCCTGGAAAAGAGCATCTCATCTGCTCTGGTTATTGCCTGCCCCTCCAGAAAACTCTACCAAGAAGCCAAGAAAAGCAATTTTTTTATTGTAATTACAAATCCCAGTAAGTAGCCCTGCACTGGACACTTTCTTATTCAGCCTGACATAGCTAAAATTCCTTCATCCCCCTTTTTTGTTCCAACATTTTTTATGGGAGTGCTCCTGCAATGCTGCATCCCTTTAGGAGGTGTCTGTGTATCCTCACTGTTGTGGTTTCATCCCGCACAATTTCTCACTCACTCACTCCCCCTCATCCCCTTAGGAGGAGAATCAAAAAGAAAAAGTAAACAGGTAAATCTGTTGAGATAAGAACAGTTTAACATTTGAAACAAAACATAATGATAATAACAAGGAGAGGAGAAAGAGCAACAGAGCCCAAGAGAAACAAGTGATGCACAACTCAGTTGCTCATCACCCTCTAACTGATGCCCAGCCTGTCCTCAGAGAGCAAATTGGCTCCCTTTTGGGTAATTTCCACAGTTTATTTCCTGGAAATGATGTTCTGTGGTATGTAATATCCCTCTGGCCTGTTTGGGTCTGCTCTCCTGGCCACGCTGCTTCCCAGCTTTTGGTGCAGCTCCTCCCTGGCTGAGTGTGAGACCTGGAAAATCCTTGACTCAGGGTGAGAACGACTCAGGAAGAGCCAAAACATCAGTAAGTTATCAATATTATCCTCATCCTAAATCAGAAAAGAAACACAGCACTGTGGGAGGAAAATTTACGCTCCCAGGCAAAACCAGGACAATCACCACTCCCACATCCTATTCCTCACTTGGGGACATATTTAATGACTGTGGGAGGCCACTGGTCATTGGAAATGCCTGGCTGTGGCCCTGTCAGATCCAGGGGACAGCGCACCCAGGCTCTTGGAAAACCAGGGCTGCTTCCCCAAGCCTTGGAGCTGCTCCAGCTGCTGGGCAAAGCCGCTGAAGCCCATGGAGTTCCCAGGGCAGGTTTGGGAGCAGCCCAGTGCCCTTGCCCTGGGTGAGCCACCAACCTGGGAGATGCCAGAGACCCAGCAGGTGCCAGAGCTCCTCTGGGAAGGGCTGGAGCTGCATTTTAGCAGCAGCACCTCGTGGGGTGGGCGATAAGGAAGCAAAACTCGGATGGCAGCACAACGAAAAGGAAAACAACACAGGGCTGAAGGGAGATTAAAGGCTGAGGTGGGGGGGAGAAATCCCAGCTGGTGGCACAACAACACAGGATTAAACTTGGGATGGCACAGAGCTTCTGCAGAGAGGGGAGGGTGGGGGTGTCCAGCCCCAGATGTCAGAGAGCAAAGATTCCCAAAGTTCAACCCAGTTCAAAGATCAGATGAGCAGCACAGAGGAGCTTATGATGTGAGCTCTGAAAACAGCTCGTGATTATTTCCCTGCTATACTGGGGCTTCCCAGATGCTGCTGGAACCACACCAGTACAGAAGGGCTTCATACTGGTATAGCTCCCTCCCTCTTCCCACTTCTAGAAATAACCATCATGGCAATTTTTATAAATACATCTGTGCCAGGCTAAGGGGTTATGTGGCTTTAAATACACCAAGAATAATGGCTAATATTTTTTCATAGACTTAATTAAATCGTTAATTAAATCTATACCGTCACTGAGTGTCAGACAGCCCAGAGGGTCCACAGTAAGAGATAAAACAGATTCATGCACAAGTTTTACTACGGGTATTAATAATTATAGCTACTCTGCTCACCCATGTCTGTCAAAACTAATTTGCTTCTTTGTGAGCTCCATGGGAATGGCTGGACCTGGACTGACCATTTAAGGGCCCAGGGGACCTCCTAGACATCCATGGGTAGGCAAGCAGGGCACATGAGCTGCAGGAGAGCTCAGCCACTCTGGAGCATCAGCTCCAGGCCAGGCAGGCTGCTCTAGACTTTGTCATGGGGGTGATGAAAGTGTCAAAGTGCTTGTGTTTAGATGTCTTAATCCATGAGACACGTTAAGACAGACACCTTAGAAAGTGCTTGTGTTTAGATGTCTTAATCTGTGAGTTGAAGCCCACCATTGCATTTCCTTTACTTCTGTTCTGCCTCAGACACTCTGTCTGCCACCAGGATCTGGAAAGGATGGATTTATTGGTGCCAAGGTGCTCAGAGACTGTGCCACTGGGGCCCATTTTCATGTATGACAGAGTCACAGAATCAGTGAGGCTGGAAAAGAGCTCTGGGCTTGACTCCAGCCTATGATTGAATCAGACCGTGGCCCTGAGTGCCTTGTCCAGCCTTTCACCTCCAGGGATGGTGACTCCACCACCTACTGCATGGAAAAAGCCATCCCTCTCCCACAGTCCCCAAATCTCCTGCTTCAGTGAGGATTTTAAGGGCACTTCCAGCACAGATCTTGTATCCCACACAGGGCTGTAAATAAGCAGCTTTATCTCCATTTCCCGCTCCCTTCCAGACCCCTGAAAAGTGACTCGAGAAGAGAATAAAGGATAAACCTGTGCAGAAAAGCAGCCCTGGATGGGATCTGGCTGGAGCTGGGGATGCCACCAAGCCCACACAAGGCCCTCCCTTAGCGCATCTTTCCAGCTTTGACTTCATGGTCTATTTTCAGCACGGCTAAAGGTCCAGCACTTTCAGAGCAGCCCATTTAGCACCATCAGGAGGAAGTCCCAGCCTTGCTACCCATGACCCACAAGGCAGATTGGGCTGTTAGATTCACCCAGAGGCCGCTTCCCAAGCCCATGGGTCGCACGCGTCCCCCCATGGTGTCACAGCAGCGGAACCTCCCGCTCCCCCCGCGCTGACTCATGAGCTGACAGACCCTTCCTGAATCACTGAGGCTGGAATTGCAGCTGTTCCCCGGCCCCCTCCCTTCCTCCTTGTCCAATGTGTCATATTAAAGGGTGATCGGCTTACACATGCTGCAGTATGGATTCCTTAAGCTCTGCAGCGCTGTGTCTATATATAAAGCCCCGAGCTGGAAACTGAAGTGCACAGACAGCTGGGAGCGTAGTGAGAGCTTCGCATTCCCGGTGTGCCGGCGGTCTGGAAGCCCACTAGGCTGTGAGCTCTGCTTTGAGCAAGTTTCTTTACTCAGGTGTAGCTATAGCCACCAATATTTACCCATAAAAAAGAGACTGGGGCAAAGAACGAGAGGTTACTCATCACCATGGGTCTGCCTCTTGATCAAGTGGAAGAATTGCGGCTCTACCAGCAAACTCTTCTCCAGGACGGACTCAAAGACATGTTGGACCACAATAAGTTTCTGGACTGTGTCTTAAAAGTCAAAGGGAAGGAGTTTCCCTGCCATCGGCTGGTGCTGGCAGCCTGCAGCCCCTATTTCCGGGCCATGTTCCTCTCAGACATGGAAGAGAGCAAGAAGAGAGAGATCAACTTGGAAGATGTGGATCCAGATGTCATGGGCAAGATCCTCCATTACATCTACACCTCTGAGCTGGAGATCACCGAGCAGAACGTGCAGGACATCTTCTCCGTGGCCAACATGTTCCAGATCCCTTCCATCTTCACCGTGTGCGTGTCCTTCCTGCAGAAGCGGCTCTGCCTCAGCAACTGCCTGGCCATCTTCCGGCTGGGATTGATGCTGGATTGCGCCCGGCTGGCCGTGGCTGCCCGGGATTTCATCTGTGACCGCTTCGCGCTGGTCTCCCGGGATGAGGAGTTCTACCAGCTCTCCCCCGATGAGCTGATTGCCATCATCTCCAGCGACTCCCTCAACATCGAGAAGGAGGAGAGCGTCTTTGAAGTGGTGATGAAGTGGGTGGGGACCAAGGACCGTGAGAGCCGGCAGAAGGCCTTGCCCGTCATCTTCGAAAGCATCCGCTTCCGCCTCATGCCCAACGACTACATCAGGGACCACGTGGAGAAGCATGCCATGGTCAAGTCCAGCCCGGAGCTGCTCAAGAAGCTGCAGATGGTGAAGGATGCCCAGAAAGGCAAATTCACTGTGGTGAAGAAGAAGAAAGTGAAGAAGAACAGTGAGAATCAAGCAAAGGAGAATGTTGTCAATGGAGCAGTGGATGAAGGGGAAGATGCAGAGGAGGATGCTCTCCCTGGGATCCTGAATGACACCATGCGCTTTGGGATGTTCCTCCAGGACCTTATTTTCATGGTGAGCGACAGTGGAGCAGTGGCCTATGACCCCAATGCCAACGAGTGCTATTTTGCCTCCCTGTCTACTCAAATCCCAAAGAACCACATCAGCCTGGTGACCAAAGAGAATCAGATCTTCATTGTTGGAGGACTGTACTACAACGAGGACAACAAAGAGGATCCCATGAGCTCCTACTTCCTACAGGTACTACCTTTATCTTTTGTTTCTTTGGCCACTTGGGAGCATCACCAAGCTTTAGCTTCCATGCAAAGGCCATAATATTTGTTGTCATGTGATGTGAAAGTTGTAAATGAGGGAGAATGATCTGGATTGCTTTCCTGGAGATTCTTCTCCCTTTATTTTTAAGGCAGATGCCACTGAGGGGTGGTTGTGGTAGTTGAGGAAGAATGTTTGAAGGAGTAGGAAATAGGAATGAGCCTTCCTGAGCCAAATCCTGAAGAGAGGATTGTTTACAACAGTGAGTTTGGCCCAGCCCTGGCTGCCATAGGGTTCACAAACTTGGAGGTTTGTGGTGTCAGACCCAGGTTCTACTTTTCATCCCCTGGCTCCCCTGGTTATGAACCCCAGGAAAACCCAAAGGTGACACAGCCAGGTGCCAAAAAAGGAGCAGCAGCAGCTGCAGCCACAGAGCAAACACCCCAAGGACACAGGGCATGTCCCTGCCTCCCATCATGTTCCCCATCCCTCGTGCTGGTCCTGCCCATGGAGGAGGGTTTGGTCCAGCTCAGAGTCTCTGCCATTTCCATCCTGTGAGGGGAAACCACCATGAGGGGTCTTTGGGGATACTCCTCAGGGAAAGTGGCTGTTCCAACTCAGCAGTGACGAAGCTGTGACTGGATTGAGTTTTGCAGGCAATCTGAGCCACAGCCTGGGCTGCAGCCCAGATTTCTTTCCCTGTAGACAGCAAAGGCAAGGCGCCTACCCTTCCTGCTGACCCCAAGGAATCCAGTAAATCCTCTGTTCTTCCTCCCATACCCAGAAATCCCTTCTTTGTTCCTCTCCATGGCTCAAATCTTCTGGGAAGAAACAATAACATGTCCCAGGCTCACATCTTCTGGGGAAAACAATAACATCTCCAGGCAGAAAGGATAAAATGAGGGTGGTTGCCAAGCTTAGAGCCCTGATCCCTCCCATGACTCCTGGCTCTCATCAATAGGACTGCAGATCATGCAGGGACCATGCTTGTCCTCACCTGGAAAGGGGCAGGGGGTTGTGCAGACCTGGTGAAGTTCAGGGAATGAGTAGCCAAGAGGAAGAAACCCCAGCCCTATAAAGCAGGAGGGAGTGGGAAAGCTGAGGAGGTGCTGGGGGTGTCCTGTTTGAGATACAGCTTTTCACACTGGGCAGTCCATGATGGCAGAGGTGTGGCACACCCCATCAGTTACCTGTGAAGAGCAGGCTGATGCATTCAGCCCAAACCTGTGCCTAAAGATCAATCTTCCCAGCAGAAGTGGAGCAGGGCCCAGAGAGGTCACAGAACCTTCAGACAATCATAGAATGGCCTGGGTTGAGAAGGACCTGGAAGATCACCTGGTTCCAAACCCCTGCTGTGAGCAGGGGCACCTTCCACTAGACCAGGTTGCTCAGAGCTCCATCCAGCCTTGAATACTTCCAGGGGTGGGGCAACATCCTTGGAAACATTTAACATTTGACTGCATAAAGCCCTGGGAAACTGCTCTAACTCCAGATCTGTGCCACTCTGAACATGTGGGTTGGATGAAAAACCTTTGGTGGTCCTTCCTCCCAAAGTACTCTGTGGTTCTAAGCTGCAAACAGCAAGATTTCTCTGTTCACCTCCCAGTTTGCCACTGACTCAGTGGCAAATGCCTTGAGCATCATGGGGCCAGTTTTAACTCTTCCCCACAAGAAGGGTCACTTCACACATCACCATGTCATTTGTGCTTGGGAGAATCAGACAAATCCTACAGGTATTTGTCAATCAGTTTTCAAATGGTTGATTTATTACATCAGTGTCATTATGTAGCTCACAGTTGCTGTATGAGCAAGAGAGGTTTTGAGCCCTTTTTTCCAGCTCAAACCACATATTCAGACATCCAGCTCTATGGCAAGCTCTATGCCACAGCTCCCTACACCTTCTGATTTTTTTCTATCCTCACAAATTTCACATTCCTCCTGCTGAAGCCAGGGGCATTAGGTCAGGGATAATTTAGATTTAAGGGCAGGCACCAAAATATAAAAATGCTGATAAATCCCAGGAGCCTTGCCGATTTTGGCAGGAGCAAAATGATTCCATTGACATTTCAGATGGAAAAGGGTATCCTTTCTTTGTCGCTTGCAAGATTTATCACTCAAAAACAATGCTGAATCCATCAAGAGGCAGGAACTATCCTGATGACTGAACTGCTCAGGGTTGCACTATAAATAACACATGTGTGGACCACAGCCTACAAAGAGACAAAAACCACAGGCACGCAGCTGAGGCCGAGTCTTTGGAGCCAGCCCATCATGCTGAAGCTCCTTGGCCTGAGCCCACGGCGAACAGTTCTCCAGGCAGTGCTGTGTCACAGCTTCATCCTGCAGTCCCACAAAATTGGCTGCAAGACATCCTTCCCTCCTCTATCAAGCTACATTAAATTTTTTCCCCAGTTCCCATTAAGCCATAGTGCTCATGGTCTTCAGACTAAGAATTTTTCCTGGTTTTTTTTTTTCTCCTGGTGGGAGATGAGGCAGTGCCTTGATCTACAGATGTCCAAGGATTTGGTGATCTGATCCATCAGCTTGCTCATCTGTCAGATGGAACTGGCACACTTTGTTTGTGTAGCCAGCATTGCTGGCAGCACCCTGATAGCTGGCAGAGATGGAAATGCCAGGATGAAGTACTGTGAAGTGTGCTATGCGTGAAAAGGTTCAGGAAAATTTCTGGGATTGAAATGCTTCCATTCCTCCAATCCCAGGATTGGATTCCTGGGATTGAATATAATGGATTGAATCCAAATCCATTATAAGTCCAGCAAGGGAGTCTTTCACCCAAAGATGACCAAGCCTGCTTCAGGTTCCAAGTTAGAAAAGGAGACTCAGGAGTGAACTTGTCACTTTACACCTCCCTGAAAGGAGGCTGTAGCCAGCTGGGGGTTGGCCTCTTCTCCCAGGCAGCCAGTGACAGGATGAGAGGAAAAGGCCTCAGGCTGCACCAAGGGAGGTTCAGGTTGGACATCATGGAGAATTTTTTTGCCAAAAGGGTGATCAGGCATTGAGGGCTGCCCGGGCAAGTGGTGCAGTCACCATCCCTAGAGGTGATGTGCTGATGTGGCACTCAGTGCCATGGAACAGACAAGGAGGTCAAAGGATGGACCCCATGATCTCAGAGATATTTTCTAACTTTAATGTGATTCTCTGAAGTCCAGGCTTTGATGAATGGAGCAGAACGTGTTGCTGCAGACCCATCTCTGCTCTTATGCATTGTCATATTTTGTTTTTCACACAATATGTGACTTGGGTTTGCTCTCAGACCTCCCATCCTGCTCCAGGTGACAAAGGCACAGCCACAGGAACATTGCAGAGCGTGCTGCTGGGGTGACCAAGCTGCACATGGGAACAGATTTGTCCTCCACCTCTGGCCCCTGAATTTTGCTAAACAAATGGGCACACGCTAATGACCATATGTTCCCTTCCAGTACGACCATCTGGACGCAGACTGGCTGGGGATGCCCCCCCTGCCCTCCCCTCGCTGCCTCTTCGGCCTGGGGGAGGCAGAAAACTCAATTTTTGTGGTTGGAGGGAAGGAACTGAAGGAAGGAGAGAAGACCTTGGATTCAGTCCTGTGCTACGACCGGCTGTGAGTGCTCAGTGCCAGTGTGGGGTGGGAGGGGGCTGAGGAAAAGGTGGAGCAGCTGCCATGCAAAGTGACTCCAGCTCTCCAGGGGTCAAAAGGTTTGGGAGAAGGGCTTGAACTCTGCATGTGGATACTGGGACTGTCTCAAACTGTGCCCTGGGGCTCTGAGCTGTCTCGCTCCAGCTGCTCCCTTTATTGACCCTCCTGGAGAGGGAAGCCTTCATGGGGGTATTTTGTTATCTGGGACTGATATTAGTATGTGTTCATGTGAAACATGTGCAGAGGTGTTTTTCCTTCTGCTTAATCTTCTGCTCTTTCCCATTGATTAAAGGTTCAGTGACATTCACTGTGGTCTCACCGAAAGAGGTTTGAGCAGAAAAGCTTGTTTTCAAAATTGTCAGATGTGTCACAGGATGGCTCATCCTGATTGTTATCAGGCTTAATATCCAATTCTTTTTGGACAATGGGCTCTGACCCATGCTAGCTCATGAGCTTTATTAAAAGGCACCATCCCGTTCTTCTCTCAGGAGACAGAAACTTCCAAAGCCTGCTGCTCTCTGTCCCAAAGAGAACAGAGCAGCAGGCATCAACAAGCCTTTGCTTGGGCTATATTTAGATGTGTGTGTTTCCAAGTCTGTTTTATAGGCAGAGATTTGAAACCAGTTCCATTCCCACAGAGCAGGGCATTTCTCTGCCCCTGCAGACTCTGGGAAAGAATTTTTCTGCCCCTGCTAAGTGCTCGGGGGTGGTTGGAGTATCAATTTGAATCTTGTAGAGATGTGATCAGCGCCACTTTATCCCTGGTTTTATTTGGTTGATGTTACTCTGATTGACAGTGACTGAACATGAGCCAGCTGTGTGCCCAGGTGGCCAAGAAGGCTGGTGGCATCCTGGATCAGAATCAGCAGGACCAGGGAAATGTTTCTTCCTTTGTGCTGGGCACTGTAAGGCTGCACCTCAAATCCTGTGTCTGGTTTTGGACCCCTCATGACAACAAGGACATTGAGGGACAGGAGTGAGCCCTGAGAAGGGAACAGAGCTGAGGAAGGGTCTGGAGGGGCTCAGCTTGGAGAAAATGAGGTTCAAGGGGTCATTATTGCTCCCTATACCTACCTGAAGACCTCAAGAAAATAATGGGTATCAGCATAAATATTCTGCCTATTTTACCGTCACCCTTTCTTAAGATCAGCACATTTACTGTCTGAGCCCATCTCATTGCCCTCTCTTGTGTTTCTGAGACAGAGGCCAAGCCTGTGCTCCCCTCTAGGACTGGGAAGTGCCATCCCCCCCAGGTGTCACCAGCAGGCTACAAATCCTTTTGCTTCCCATCTTTCTCTGACCCAGGTCCTTCAAGTGGGGTGAGGCCGATCCCCTTCCCTACGCAGTCTATGGCCACGCAGTGGTATCACACAAGGATCTTGTCTACGTCATCGGGGGCAAAGGAAGTGACAAGTAAGTCAAAAAGCAAGAGAAAATCAAGGAGGCAATGCCCCAAACAGGTGGGAGAGCAGAACTGGTACCTCCTCCGCCTGGTTTAAGGAGGGCTGGATGGGATGGGAGATGTGGATCCTATCCCCCTTAGCTCACCTTGGTGCCTGCAGCCCTTTCCAAAACCTTCAGAGGCCAGCAGGGACATCAGGAAGGTGGCAATGTCCTTAGAGGAGAGAGAAGGTATTGCCCCATCCCTGGAGGCAGGCTGGAGGGGGCTGTAAGGGAAACTGCTCTAGTGGAAGGTGGCCCTGCCCATGGGGATTGGAGTGAGATGTCTTTAAAGATCCTTCCAAATCAAACCATTCTGTGATCCCCTTTGCTTACAAAAAATAAATGTCACACATATTGGGAAAGGCAATGAAGAGCAAGAAGACTCTTCACTTTTAGGGTCTTCTGTGTTGGACTTGTGGAGCAGAGGGGTCACCATAGTCAAAATGTATTTGCAACAGGAGGGAAAACCCTCATCCACCCTGACCCCATCCTGCCCTCCTGCAGGAGACAAGCTCAGCAGGAAAAGCCTCTCTCAGGAGCATCACCGTGGCTGCCTTGCAGGGCAGAAATGTGACTGACTGCAGATGAAACTTTCCAAACTCCAGCAAAGACTGGTCCTGTTTGGGAAGGATTTTGGTCTGAAATTGTGAATGTGCATAAAATTCACACCTCACACTGCCCACCTGGTGATAGGAACAACACTGAGGATATTTTACAGCATTGCAGTGGATCAGGAGCAATAAAACAAAGCCTTGATGGTTGTGAGAGGTCCTAAGAAGCTGTTGGCTGTCTGGACCTGTATGCAGGTGTGTGAGCACCAAGCTGAGCTCTCAGGATTCCTGTCCAAAGTGAGCACAGCAGGAGGGGATGTGTTACACATGGTGCCTCCAGGCATGGACATCCTTGGCTGCACACCCAATAAAGGGGGTGTTCCTCCACTCATGCCAATGTGAAGGAGCAAAATCCTCCCTAGACACTCCACCTTCTTCCCAGCAGACACCCCCAAACCCCTGCAGTGCAAAATTACCCCTTGGCAGGCGATTGAGGCTCCTTTTCCTTCTCATTTTTCTCCAGGAAGTGCCTGAAGAAGATGTGTGTCTACAACCCAGCCAAGTTTGAGTGGAAGGAACTGGCTCCCATGAAAACCGCCCGCTCTTTGTTCGGAGCCACCGTGCACAAGGACAAAATCTACGTGGCAGCTGGTGTGACCGACTCAGGTTTGACCAGCTCGGTGGAGGTCTACGACATTGCCACCAACAAGTATGTCCTGAGTTGTGGTTACACAAGGAGTAACTTCCAACTTCCAACCATTCTGGAGTTTGTTTGTGACTCCTGATGTCAGTTCCTCCAGTTTATATGCCCATGGCAGAGGAGTTGGAACTGGGTAATCTTTAAGGTCCTTTCCAACCCAATCATTCTAGGATTCTATGGTTCCTCAGAGAGCTGGGAATGACCAAAGTCACTGTGGTTGGATCATCTCAGGCTCATCCTCAAAGTGGTTTCACCCACTGCGCCGTCCTTGGGTTCCCTGGCAGCTTCACCCAACACAATAAACTCTCTGAGTTTGGGTGGCTCTTGCAGCTGCAGTCTGGTACTGGTCCATGCACTCAAAGTGATGCCTTAAGTTTAAATTTTCATATTTTCCAGATTCTGTACTGCATTAGCATGTAACTCTGAACTTCATATAAAGTGTAAGCAAGTTCCCTTCACAGCTCAGTCAGACACAACAATCCTTTTCCAGCCCCAGAGCCAAGGACACTATTGCAGTATCGAGTTTAAAAAGTACAAACAGCTGCAAACTGAGGAGAGCAATCTGGGAGGATGGGACTTCATAACCTGTAAGAAGCTGTAATTGGACAATTAACCCCAAAATGTAAAAAATGGAACAAAACTATAAAAGGGTGAAAATTCATGTCTCAGAGTCCATTTTAGGTCCATCTTGGGTCCATCCTGGATCCATCTTGGGTAGAGCCATGGCTGGGCTCTTATACTGCCCAAGGTGCATCCTTTGAAGACCTTTAAAATAAATACCTACTTTATTCCTTTAACTCTGTCTAGCCTCTGTTCTAGGTACTCTCTTCAGACATCAAAAATAAAACAAAGTTGAACAATGATGATGGGAACAGTTTCCCTAAAATCAGCCAGGGTATGGTCCCATCCCACCTAGACCTGCACAACTGGATCTGTCACCAGTGAGCTCAGTTGTTGAATCCTGATTTGAGGCCATCCTCACCGTGGGGGTGGCCAGGATGCTCTGACTTTCCCCCTCTCTCATTGTGGCAGGTGGGACACCTTCCCTGAGTTCCCTCAGGAGCGCAGCTCTGCCAGCCTGGTCAGCCTGTCTGGGGTGCTCTACCTGCTCGGGGGCTTCGCCACGGTGGAGACGGAGTCGGGAGAGCTGGTGCCAACGGAGCTGAACGATGTTTGGAGGTGACAACCTTACCCAGGGCTGTCCAAGGGAGCAGGGGAGGGATGTTAGTAACGAAATAGATAATTTCTGTCTTTTTTTTATGCCGTCAGTGTGAGATGGGGGTTGTCACTCCAGCACAAGGATGCAGGCTCAGCACAGGGTGTCTGGGAAGTTTGCCCTGTGCTATGCTGCAGGGCACATTGGTGCTTCAGTGATCTCTCCCAGCCTCACACAGCAACAGACCAGGGAAAACTTGCTCCTTTAGCTCTGTTGTGCATTGACATTTTGCCTGGAGCTGGTTCCAGCCTCCCCTTTGGTGTGGAGCAGCATCTGTGCGATGCTTCCTCTCCCTGGGAGCAGTCAGTGCTCAGACTGGGAAGCAGATAGTCTGGGCTGGGAAGCAGATAGTCTGGGCTGGATAGCAGATAGTCTGGGATGGGAAGCAGATAGTCTGGGCTGGATAGCAGATAGTCTGGGATGGGAAGCAGATAGTCTTACATGCAAGAGGAGTGGGCAGAAAGCATTTAGTGACAGCTGCTAATGCAGCTTTGGCTACTCCTGTCCCTCACATCGGTGCTCTGGCACCCTCAGCAGGATCCTCTTGTCCTTCACTGTGGATGTTCCACCTTGGTGCCATCAGCCCAATTCCCAGAAGGAAAATATCCCCACCCCTGCAAGACCACGTGCTGATATCCACATCCCCCAGACCAGAGCACGCCAGGGCTGAAAGTCCCCACGCAGATTCTTGTGGCCAAATAACTCCTGTGGGATGTCACACCACGCGCCAGGGCTCCCACCACTACAGAGAGCAGCTGTGGAGAGGGAAAGGAGATATTTCCTCACCATTAAATGTCTGCCTGCCTCTCCCCAGGTATGATGAGGAGCAGAAGAAGTGGGAAGGGGTCCTCCGGGAGATCCAGTACGCCTCCGGTGCCACGTTCCTTCCCGTGCGCCTCAATGTTCTGCGCCTAACGAAGATGTAGTCAGGCGTGACTGCTCTTCTTTCCACGGGGTGCTGGGGCAAGGAGGGATGGGGGAGATGCTTATCAGGGATATGGCATCTGGACTCTGCCCAGGACATTGCATCTGTGATTGGTTCTTTTTTGGATAAGTGGGGAAGAGGGGAGAGTATCTGGAAAACCTCTGGGAACTTGAAGGTGCTCACAAGGTAATTACAGAGGGGATCTGCAAGGAGCTGGGCAAGGCTGAGAAGCACAGAAAAATTAGTTATTCCTGTCTCAGGAGACAGGACAAATAGATCATACATTTTTTGACTTCTTTCTCCATGTTTTCCCCCATCTTTTAAACTGCTTCGGACCTCTCCAACAAAACAGCAGATGCAGAAAGTGGGGGCTAAGATGACATTCCCCAGGGAAAGACATCTAAAAAGCATTTCCCAGCCTAAGGTGTCTGTCAGCAGAGTGATCCTTGGAGAGGTGAAAGAAGGGTTAAAGTCAAGTGGTACAGGAGAGATCTGATAGAATTTGATGAGTTCCTGAGTGAAGAGTGTTGCTGGGATGAGACAGTTAAAGATCATGTGAGCTGCAGAAGCACTTTGGAAGTTGGAATTAAAAGCAAATAATCTTAGTTCTTCACCTCCACCTTGGCTTTGGAGTGATGAGAGACTTGGAGCTGTCTCAGGAAGGGAGGAGTCATGGAAGTTATAGGGTGGGAAAGGAGGAAGAGATGGACAGGGGATGCCATGTGTGGTCATCTCCAGCCTTTTGGGCTCCTCATCCTCAATCACAGATCACAATGTCCTCACCTATGGATGGACAAATTCTGTTTTTAGGGAAAGGTTTTATATTTTTGCTGTTCGTCTTATTTTTAATGTTCAGACTTTTTTTTTTTTTTTTTTTAAGAGTATTTTACTTTGCTAAGACCTCAGATGTGTTTGTCTCAAAGAGAATTTCTGACTGAGGAAAAATGCATATTTATTTTAAAGTTGTCAATAATGAAGTCTTGATAGAGACACGACTGTACTGGCAGCAGAAAAAAAGATCTGTTAGAGCAAAAATCTCCTGATGCCCACACCATCTGACCAGTGCTTTACTTAAAAATAAATGTGACTATTCCAAAATAAATCCCTTGTGTTTGCACATTGAGAGAGCTGAAACTGATCCTTCACAGCAACCAAAGACAAGGACTGAGCACAAGTTGTGATGGACATGTGCAGCAAAACAACCCCATGGAGAGCCCCATCTTTTCTTGTTATTTTCCCCCATTTGAGAGCTGAAATTTTAGGATCTGTATCCTTCCAGCTCTTCCCCTTGGATACCACAACTAGGAGTTTACCCAGGACTAGAAGGAAGAAGGGTGCCTACACTGACAGGGTGAGAGGAAACAACCTCAAGTTGTGCCAGGGGAGGTTTAGATTGGATATTAGAATGAGTTTTTTCACAGAAATGATTGTAAAGCACTGGAAGAGGTAGTGATGGACTCCCCATCCCTGGAAATGTTCAAAAAACGTGTGGATGCGACACTTAGGAATATGGTTTAGTGATGAACATGGTGGTGGTGCTGGGTTGGTGGCTGGACACGATGAGATTAAAGGTCTTTTTCAACCTTAGCAACTTTATGATTCTGTGATGTCTTAGCGCCATTAAAAGGGGTGATGATCAATAACAATTTAAAGAATTGCTTTCTCTCAAAATAATTGCTTCAAAGTGGTGTGAAAATTCTGGTATCACAAATCATACCTGGGTGATTCATCTAGATAAAAATGCAGTTGTGGAGAAAACATGTTTGGAAAGAAAAAAGAATTCAAGAAAAAGAATTCAAGGGACCCAGAGTCTTGTCCTGGTTTCATTTGAAGGATTAGGAAGTTAGAGGATAAGCTCCTTAAAGGACAATCACATCAGGACGGTAATGAAATATTTCAGAAGAAAAAGAAATCCAAGGTGACTGGCTGTCACAAAGTAGCTTAAAAAAAAAAAAAAGAGGGGAAAAAAATCATTGAAACAATCATAGGTGTGAAAAATGCACGGAAAAGAAATAAACACCTTCTGTCTATTTCTGCAGAAATTAATGCAGACAATTCCCAAGCTAATTAAAGATGAATCTTCCAAATAGCTTCTGTCAGAAAAAAAAAATTAAAAAAAAGAAAGAAAAAATTAAGAAATTTTTTTTTTTTTAAAAATATAATCCCTGCATAGAATAACCATTTTTAAAGTCATTTATTGCAGTGTCAGGATACCACCTCCTGCCTCCAGCAGCGCCATCCCTGGAAGATGCACTCAATGCTCTGGTCTGGTTGACAAGGTGGTGATTGGTCAAAGGTTGAATCAGTGATCTTGGAAGTATTTTCCAGCCTTAAATTGTTCTGTGAGTCCGTGACCTTTGCTTCAGCTCTTCTTGCTGAATGCAGGCTGGAAAGCTGTTGATGATCCTAATAGAGGTTTAAACCCCAACTCACCTCCTGCCACATTTCTTGTCTCTCCTGGAGGAATTCTGAGCTTTTGAAGCCAGCAGGAGAATGCTGCTGACCTTCCATGAGTTGTTGTGATGTGGTCCCTGATAAAGGCTCAAGGTGTTTAAAATAAACAGGAGTGTGGTGCTCACATGTTGTTCACATTGATTATGAAGCTGTGGAGATGCCAGCACTGGCACTGGGCAGGAAACTATAAAAGGAAAAATAGCTGTTGTAGAACAAGACCCAGGAGAACTTGAAATATCCCACTGCCTGAGCAACAAGAGGCAAATCTCAGCACATGTTGGTCCGAGGAAGGAGGAAAAGTTGGATATAACCAAATGAAGGTGTGGCCTGGGGATGTTCCTCCACGTTTCCAAGAGGCTGTGTCAGTTTAGAGGCCATCACAGGTAAGAAATGCCGCCAGGAACGCTCAGAGGGACATCACTCCTCACTGCTGCCTGGTGTTTTCCTGGCTCAAATGCAACAGCTTCAGTGGCACAGGTACAGATAATGAGAGTAGCAAAGACTACATCCAAAGGCTGAGGGAAAGCTGTCTCTTCTTCCATTGTCTTCCCAATATCCATGCTGATATTGTTGGCGAGGTTCTCCCTGCTCCGTTTCAAATTAATTAGGGCACTGGGTGCTTTGGGATGTGCTCATTGGTTTCTCCACTGCCAATAGAGGAGATCAGAGAGCCCCTACTGAGAGTTCACACTGACCTGATGGAGCCAGCAGGACCAGGTGCTCAGTCCTTACCCAAGGGCTGTAAGAACCGAATTTCTTCTTCTATCCACTCATCACCCTTCCCTGGAAAGCTCTGTTTTTGTTGGCCCCACAACAGTCAAGTTGTCTCACACACACACGCACACACCTCCCACCAAACCCGACACAGAGCCTATACATGCGAAGCGGTGGCAGCAGTCAACATTCCATAGGAAACTCATCCTCCCCGTCTCTGACTGCTCACACAGTTGCCTGAAAAAACCCTTTTAAAAGAAAAGAAAGAAAAAAAAAGGGGGGAGGGGAAAGAAAGATAAAGCAAAATTAAGGTAACAAAGAAAGTGGTGGAGCTTTTGGTTTTCTTTTATAAAAGACAAATCGTTTATTGATTCAGTCCTTCCACTTGCAACCTCTTTGGTAACAGTCATAACACTTCCAGACTGGGAGAACGCAGTGGAAAGGCCCAGTTCTGACCTCTCACCAATTTCAGAGCTCAGTGAGCCCCAACGTGCCTTGGTGAGAGGCCAAAAGCAGATTTCAAAGCATGGCCAAGGACCTGGCCTCGAGGGACAACCCAAACCAGCCTCCCTACTGTGACTCGTCATGCTCGTGGGCAGTGCAGAGAGCAGCCCCAGCACTCCCAGGCAGAAGATGGCTCGGGATGGGGATGTCTGACTGGGAGTTGTACCCTGGGAGGTGGCTTTGATGAACCTCTTGGGACCTCCTGGACATTGGCCAACGGAACCATCGATGAAGCAAGACTCGCCCGTTCCTGCGGTAGACAATGACTTGCCTCAGTTGGCCCCATGGGGATGGACTAATCCAACCATCTCAGCCTCCCCCTCCTCACACCATCCCAAAGAGAGTAACTGCTGTACTTGGAGTTAAAGATAAACATATATTGATTACACATGGTCATAAAAAAAAAAAAGTAATTATAATAATAATAATACATTTCCTAGAACATTACTTAAGACGCTTCCGAAAAGCATCCAAGCTTCCCCTCCCCGCCTTCCCTTAATCTATACAGAATAAAGTGCTTCATTTAGTTTGTTCACACTTGTAGAGCCACCAATACACTCTTGGCATGTTTGGGCAACCGATACTGAATGCCGTAAAATAATACAGAGCCAAACACCAGGCATGAGAAACTAGTTTTGAGGCAAGTGCTTGGGGTTTCATTCATTTCCTTCGAGTTCCATGCTACAGAGGTTGTTCTCATTCCTATTGGTTTTTTCCTCCTTTTTTTAAAATTATTATTTTCTTCCTTTGTAAGTTCAACCCAACTCCCGTCGTGGTTCCGTGTCTCTAGGCAGGGCTGCGTGTGGGGAAGCTCTCGCCGTCCGTGTGAACAAAGGGCATCTGTCCGTCTGTCCTTCCCTCCTGACTTCGGGCAAACCAAGAGTCACCTCAGAGGAGTTGTCTAGCAGCGGATGCTCGTCTCTATTGCACTGTCACAGCCGTTCCCACCTGTCCATCCATCCATCCATCTATCCATCACCTTCCCACCGCGCCAGGGTTATGGCTGTGGTCCAAAGGGCCAGCTGTGCCTCATGGATACGTGAGGCGAACTGGTCTGTGCTACCAGGCTCCTGGGATATAGAAACCGAAAAATGACCCTCCCCACATGATTCCCTCCCTCCCCAAAGTTCAAATGAAGGGTGGAGCGTGGGGGGGAAAAAAAATTCCAACCCAGATAGGTCTGGGGTTTAGGTGAGTGGGAAGAGCTGTCAGCTGAATGTTGCGTTACGGCGTATTCAGGAACTGCGTAATGGAAATCAAGCCCCTCTCCACCCTCGCGGTCTGTCAAAGAAGGGATGTGAGAGATTAAGGTGCAAGAGTTTTAAAAAAAAAAATAAAAAAAAATTAAAATAAAGCATAAAAAGCTTGAAAACAACGGACCCAACTCTCCTGCCTCCTGCCCTGTCTAACCCCAAGGGGTGCAACAGTGCCAGCTGGGATGGATCCAGGATGGACGAGGCACTGCGGGAGCGACTCGTCTGAGCTCTTAGTATGCGAATGAAAACCAGACATGAAGACACACTGGGGCTGAGTCAGGGTGTAGACAAAAGGGCTCAGAGGCCTTGTAGGACTCCTGGGAACTACCCAGGCCTTGGAGAGGGGAAGGAGCAGCAGGGATCTGGTTCTCCAAAGTGCTGTGTGCATGGTCACATCTCAACATCTCCAAGTGGCTCCACGAGCAGGCTCTCGAAGGGGATCAGACGCAGCTGGGATCAGTCACTGGGTTTTCTGCTGGGCTTCCAGCCTCAAGGAAGTGCTCTCATCTCACAGAGATGTCCAGGGGGGGCAGGTCCTCACTGGGAGAGGATGAACTGGGACAGGAACAGGGAAACCACCTCCAGGTGAGTGGAATAAAGGGAGCACAATGTCGGTGTGGGTGTTTACATGGGGGAAAATTTGTCAGCTGATGGACTTCATCACAGAAGACCAAAAAAGCAAAGTGAGCCCTCCTTGGGGCACAGCGCTCCCATCCTGTCTCAAGGCTGAGTGTGAGGGGAGAGAAGCACAAGGAAGCCCAAGGGGATGGGATCTGGGAGGCAGCAGAGGAGGAGACAGCATTCACCACTCCAACACCTCCACGGGTTTCACTGAATGCTTCTCTAAAGCAAATATCTTCCAGTATGGGTCATGGTCCCTTCAGACAGCCAATGGCCCCAAGAGCCTTCATCCCCCACAGGTGTGTTTGAGAAGGCTTTACACTATTCCAATCAGCCCCAGGGTCATGGAGGGGGACTGCAGAGAAGCCTTTGGAACCACCTGAGAAGGTCAATATGGTGAGGCAGCTCTGCCACAGCAACCTCCTCGTTCTCAGAGCAGATGGAGATGGGGGTGAGCTCACCAGTACTGAGAGCCGTGCTGGGCATCCACAGGATCCCAGCCAAAATGAAGATGAAAAGGACTTTGTGGCTCCAAAATGCTAACATCAGTCAGCTTTCCCAAGATGCCAGGCACCACTGGGGCCCCTGTCGGCAGGAGGTCACACCAGTCACCTCAAAGAGCCCTCAGGAGAACAGCAGATGCTCCCCAGTCCTGTCCCCATCAGGGTCCTGCATGTCCCCAGTCAGCAAAGCCCCTGAGCATGTGGCTGAACCCACCCATCTCTGCAGGGACAGCCTCAACACTGCCCAAGTGCTTTGCTGATTTGGTCCAGGAGATGAAACACCAAGACTTTTCACAGAACCAGATGTGGATCTCTGTCCCCAGCACTCTGCTGTCACCCAGCACAAGCTGCATATGAGAAAAGGCTCCAGCAGCCCACTCAGTGACCTCTTTCCTTCTTACCTACCAACAGTGCTTCCACCACCTCCTCCATGACATGACCCAGAGGTGACCTCAACACTGACTTTAGAAGCACAGGATCAACTGGAACATCCTCCACCTCTTGGCAACCCTTCTCTGCCCATGCTGGGTGCTCTCTGACTCCAAAGGGGACACTTCCCCAGGCAGGGAGCACACAGCCATGGTCAGGACGATACATGGC